AGCGGCCCGGTAAGGGTTGTTCCGCGGCCCGGTACCGGTCCGCGGACCGGCGGTTGGGGACCCCTGGTTTAAGCGTTCCCTTTATGTTTTTGAGCAGTGTATTTATAATGTTTACATACACGCCGTGCCCAGCCAGTCACATGACCACCAAGCCACACCCACAAATTAGGCCACGGCCACAGAACCGGTTAGTGGTCCCTGGGATTTAAAATTATGGGTTGGGTGGTCCCTGAGGTCCAAAACGTTGTTCTAGGGGAAGGAAATAAAACCCAATTTTCTCCCTCTCTTTTCTCAGAACGAAACGGAAAAGGAAGCGTACCTGATCCAGGTGCAAGCCAATCTCACCTACCAGTTCCCCCAGGCGACAGGTGAGCAGTGTGGGGGAGGGCTTGGCGGGGTGGATTCAGGGTGGGCTTCGAAAATTTTAGCAAAGGGTTCTCGGCCACCTGCACCATGGCGGCTGGGAGGGGAGCATTTTCGCCCTTCCTCGGGCCTCTGGGAAGCCGGAAACAGCCATCCCAGACTCCCGAGGCTCTCCGGAGGCTGGAAACGGTTGCCAACAGGAAGGGCGGGGGGGAGAGAAAGAGCGGCACGGCGTCTTGGAAACCAAAAGCGCATTCCATCCAGAGGGCGTTTTTTTTTTTTCCCCCTCAAAGAGAGTTTCTATGCGGCCAAAGTTTCTGCCGGTGCAAAATTCTAATTGGAGAATATGATGGAGGACTCTGGGCTATGGAGGTGTCCCATTGGAGAATATGGATTAGGATACACCCAGGAGGGTGTGGGAGAGAAAACCAGGGTTAAGGGGGACAAGGAATGATGTATCTCAGAGTCGGCTGCACCCAGGTGCATGCCGGGCATCTTCACTCCCAATAAATCTTCTTTTAAGGTTGGAAAATCTGGCTAGAGACTCATGATTTAAATGGGGGGGGGGATGTAACTACCGGCGTCCTGGATTTATTTTTGTCCAATCTCCTGCCCTGATACCCAACGTGGGGGCCCTTCCTCCACGGTTTTGTCTCCGCAGAAGCGACCACCTTCAGGGCCAACAACGCCTCCCTCAGGGAGTTCGCGGCCCCCCTGGGCAAATCCTACCAGTGCCGTAACCGCAGCCTGGGCCTGAGTGAGACTTTCCGGCTGACGGCACTAAGCGAGCGCATCCAGGCCTTTGAGCTGCAAGACGGGAAGTTCGGGGAAGGTAAGCGGCTGCCTCTCGGCTGGGCGGGGAAAGGATCCTTCCTAGCTCCCATCTCATGGAACGGAGGCAGGGTGGATATGGTGGGTAGGGTGGGGGTCTCCAACCTTGCCCCCTTTAAAGACGGGTGGACTTCAACTCCCAGAATTCCCCAGTAGGGTGACTTTCTTAGTAGACGGTGGGAATGCAGTTTAGCTGCAATAAACACTGACTTCGGCAAAGCGAAGAAATAAGCCCTGCTGGCTGGGGGGCTGTGGGAGTTTGGAGACCCCTGCCACAGAGCACGACAGGATGGGAAGGGGACCCTTGGAGGTCTTCTATTCTAACCCCCTGCCCTTCCCCCCTTTCTTTACCCCAAATTTTTTTTTTGGGGGGGGGGGTTCACAACTGTCGAGGAGGAAGCACCCATTCTTACCCCCTTCCACTATTATTCCTCAACTAGGGGACCAACCGGCCCCCTCCCCCTTTCTCCCCATGACCCGAAATGCCTCGCTCTGCCCAAGCCTCACTTTCCTCCTCCTGCCTTTCCAGCGGAGCTCTGCCCCGAGCAGCAGAAGCGCTCCGTCGTTCTTCCCATCGTGGTGGGCGTCGTGCTCGGCCTCCTCATCCTCATCGTCCTCGTGGCCTTCGCCGTGGGACGGTGGCGAGGCCGTACCGGGTACGAGTCCCTCTAAGACCTCCCCCCCCACTTTCCGTGAGACGCAGCTGGACCAGCCGACGGGAGACCTGGTCTTTTGACACCGACGGACGGAAACGGATGAGAAGAGAGGGGGAAAAAATGCCAGCTGCTAATCCCCTACCCTTCCTTGGACTGCCATTTTGAGGACTGCACTTTTTTGGGGGGGGGGGGG